TTGTTACTTGAATCAGTTTTTCATGTTTTTTTTTGCACGTTAGGAACTTATTTCTACTTGAAGTGCCAGATTGACTGGTCTATCGCTTCCTTTCCAACTCCATCTCCATACCAAATTTGTCAAGGCATTAGGAAAAATCGATTCACAATATATCATACTGCTACACTTTTGGAAACCAAAATCAGTTTCCAATTTAGTGGCTCATCCAAGATCAGACCTAGTTTCTTAGCCTATTCAGTTCTCTCCGAATTTATATCATTTGCATTAATTTTTGTGAATAGAACTACTAGTTTGCACTTTCTGGAATTTATGAAACGATTTGCATGAAAACCATCTGCCGCTCGAAGACGGTCGCATAAAACATAATATGCTGCAATTTGTGGCACATCGATAAGATGTACAATGTGCGATATTTTTCAGTATTTCTAAGTTAGCGCCACTTATCGAATATGTTTAATACATATGTATTTACATACACATGCTTTCCTAACATGTTCCATGGCAAGGGATATTTTTTAAGGCGAAGGGCATTCTGTAGATTTGCATAAATGTTGGCATGCCTTATTTTAGCAATTTGGTTATTTAAAATGTTGAATAAAACCCAAAATATTTATAAGCAAAATTATGCAAATTCAGTTAAAGTTAAGAAAGAAAAAAGAATATTTAGCATTGCCTATGGATGTAAACATTTTGCTTGGCAATGGCGGCAATTTCGCCTAAAACCATTTACTCTTAGGCAGGATTTAGGCTTTACGAAAACTTTGGCGCAGATAATCCCTCTTTGCTCGTTTCATTGAAATTAAGAATTGTGATAGACAAAAATTGCAAAAAAAAAGAGTAGATACTACATACAAACATTTTGAATTGAGCAATTCCCATTCGCAAGAGATATGTACGCATTTTGGTGACACGCTGCTGGCGTAAATTCTTTTCTCCACTCTTAATTTGCATTTATAGCTTGCTCTCTGCGCCATTGTATCGATTTGACAGCTTTTGAGGGAGAAATGTAATTTTGTAGTGAGCTGCAGATGTACATACATATGTATGCACATTAGGGTGTGCTCAGTTTTTTAACTTTGACCCACTAAGCAAGACTCTCTTCGATGATTTAATTTGGTCATAAAAATGCGAAACACGTGCCTCAGGAGTTCTAAAGTTATGCAAAAAAAAAGGCTTTATAACAACCAAATCTGACGAGATATGAAAATGGGGAAATTTTGGGATCAGCATGCAAAAATCTATTGATTGATACGAAAAAAATAAACCTTTGTACTGAGTTATAAGCTGTTTTCCTACTTTATGTAAAATTTAATAAAGTAGCTTTTGAGGCACATCTTTGCTTTATCCTATTTTGACAATTTTTCTCAATGCACATTTTTATGACCACATAACCCTTAATTTTTCGCCTACCAGCTTAAGCAAAGCCAAATGGAGCAAAGTCAATTTTTCTCTACTCAAAAGTACATATGTACATATATGTTAAATACGTGTGTATTGCACGTGTGTGTGTTTGCCCGAATTTAAATAATGTTATGCATATCTCCGCATTCAATTTGTATGTTTATATTTACATATTGTATGTATGTAAGTTTAAATATTATTCTAAGCATATAGCAATATTTCAAAAAAATCTGCTTATGACCCTTAAGTTGTCGAAGTTGATATGTGCAATGTTAAAATAATTTGATTACTTGAACAAACGTGAAACTGTGGTAAATGTGTCGAAAAATTGAATGGTTGGCATAACATTTCTGGGTACATACTTGAATACGTACATATGTTATGGTAAACTGTGCTAACGTGGGTTCGGAACAGTGTGACCACTTTGTGAGTAATTCCTCAAAACGTGAAGAATTTCGGGTACGCTTGAGTATTTTTTGAAGATTTTTATTTTCAGGAATTTTTGAGGAATTTTCCCTCGATTTATTTGCTGATAACAAATGCAACCATGTTTTTCACAACAGAGTTGTTAAATCGCTCTGCAAATTTTTGAACAAAAAGCTTTCCGAAGTTTTATAAAGAGCGAAATACACAACACAAGCGACTTGTCAAACATTCTTTAAACATGCAAACATGACTCGTTCAAGCAAAGAATTTTAGTTTTCTTCCGGTTCACAATGTAAAAGAGTTTGGTTTTCTTCGATTTTTCTCTCTTGCATCCTCATTCGGTGAAAATTCCGTTGCGAATGAGGCGATTTTACCATACACAACGTAAGCGGTTTGATCAAACGTAACTATGGCGGCCATAAAATCAGAAAATTTTGATTTTTTTTCACATTTCAACACAACATAAATAGCTTTAAGCGTGTGTGTGGTGTTTTTCGCACTTAAGCACATCTGCATTTGCTGCTAAATATTCAAAATATTATCGATAATTTTCGATAATTTTTTTCATTCCATTGTTATATGTATTTTCAACTTACTTTGAACTTGCAAAATCTCGATAACGATTGGAGAGAACACATAACAATATTCATATTGATTTTTCAGTAGTTCCAGAAAATTATAGGAAAGAAGTTTTTGAATTAAAAGATTCTTCAGGTTCATGTACATAAGTTTCCCAATTAAAAAAAAATTATATCTGCATTACTTATATAGCCCTTTTCTATTGCTTCAGTAGAACGTATATTTAGTAGTTAAAAAATGTGTAGGACTGACTTGAGGACCAGATTAACCACTGATATAGTTGCAATAATATTATATACAAACCAAGGCATAAAAGGTAATCACCGTTGAGCCGCAGGAACAAATGTACCAATTGAATTGGAGAATGTAATTAATTTTTATACTAAGTACCTGTAAAGTATACTCATATCTGTAGTAAGAAAATTTTGAGTAATTTGTTCGGATTTTGAGGATTTTTCATTTGTTTTTGAGGAATTTGGTAATTTTTTTGTGGTAACACTGGTTCAGAATTAAATATAAGCGAGACAATGCTGTTGAACTGCCCAGTCGATAATATTACTGCTAGCTATGTAATTAGCATTCTAATGTATTCAAAAAGTTCCAAAAATTTCATATTGAAAAATTTAATGGCCCACTTTTCTTAAGACATCGCCTTGGAGAAAATAATGCATTTTCGAATGTGAAAAGGGTTCGATTACTATACATTACATTTTCCCACTGTGTAGTAGCATCGACGTAGGGGTTATGGCTTAGGAAATCTTATGTGAAAATTAAATTCCTAAATTTAAATACCACTCTAATGTACATATGTATATAAGTATATCTGGTAAGGAAAATAGACGTTTCTGCATTACAACTTTAGTATTTTCTACAATGTGTTTTGATATTTTTGAATACGATATTTTTTTAAAAACACGCGCTTGGATTCCGAATATGTTAAACTTTGGAAATTTAAAATAAAAGCTTAAAATTAAGAAGTTTAACTGTAAGAGAAAACTTTTTTTTTTAATATGTACTCGGATGTTTGATTATAATATTCATCTGACGGATGTAAAACAACTTTTTAGATCTTTCTTATTTGATAGGCGTGAAACATTAGTCCGAATTTTAGTGCTCTTACCAAGTAGGGTTGTCCTTTATCCTATACCTATACTAAATAAAAAACAGCGATATATTTTTTTTGGTATAGAACAATCCTAGGGGGTGAGAGCATTACAATTCCGACATTACTATGTTTTTTTTACCACCCTAATGTACATACATATCTGTTGACTTTTGACAAAACAACTCTCTGCTTTCGGTAGGTTGGAATTTAGAGTTAATTATAAGGAACTTCCTTTTAAAAAATTTTACATTTTTATTTAACTTTCATTAAGATAGCATCTAGAACTAGAGAAAATTATCTCGCTCGAGAGGAGTTGTGTTATCAAACATTTATATGTACATACATATGTATGTATGTGTGCACAAAATTTTCGCAAAAAGTTCTTAGCCCATTCGTGCTCTAGTTTTTTCCTAGTGTGTATGTATGTATGTACATTTGTATTTGTAAAGTCATGCAGACAACGATAATTAAATTATTTTACTTGCTAATTTTAAAGGCATGCGTTGAAAAATAAGTCAACATTTTAAAGTGGCCAATAGACACTCTAAATCGAATAGTAAGAGATATAGAACGGAGATTGTAGAAAGTACATACATATGTGCATATCTGCACTTAAATTTTAAATGCATTTTTTAGTATTTCATATCTTGTTTTTTTTTATAAACACAAAAATTACAAAAAAAAAAAAAAGGCGCAGGAAACCCCACTATCGAAGGTTACTAGCCCATTTATTATTTTGGATTTTCTTTTGCTGGCATGCCAATTGAGTCAAGAGCACCACGAGCGTAAATAAAAATCTTAACAATAAATAAAAGCGAAAATTTACACCTTCAAAAAGTGTCAGACACTGCACTACGTAGATTTGCATAAATAAACTTAAAAAAAAAAAACCAAATGAGACACGCTAGCGTTGATGTGCTGCTGCTTATGTCGTTGCTGCAGCAGCAATCAAAGCTAAGCGACAAAAAGATTTACGACAGCTGCTCAGTATGCTGTCACTGACATTCATGCAACCAGCAAGAGCCAAAAAAAAAAAACAATAACAGCGCTGACTTCGCCATTGCAGTACTTTTTGGACTTGACTTTGCTGTAGGGGTGGCACGCAACGGGCGACTGCAGGCGAACGATGAGTACCGTTATGCTGGCAAGCAAGTGCAGAACTAAAAATTTTTAGATTTACATATGTTAAGAGTATTTTAAAGTGAAAAGTATAAGCAGAAAATAGAAAAATAATAATTCTTGTAAAACAAAATTAATTTGTACATAAGTTTGAAAAAAATTGAATAGTTATCTATATTGCTTTTAAAAAGGATAAATAATAATTTTAAGAATAGGTGGAAAATTAAAATATTCCTAACTATTTTTTTATACACTTTTATAAAGAAATTAAAATTAATTGCAATAATTTTTCTCTCTTTTTTTAGGTCGGCGACACTATTTTTAAAATCTTCAAAGAAACAATACAATTACCACCACTTTAAATTAATTTCCCTCAAAATAACAAACAACGATAAAATCCCCAAAGTACTTCAATGAATTATAACAAAAACAACAACAGCGGCAAGAAGAAAACCAAAAGCTGAAAGAGAAAAAATACCTTAAAAATAAAAAAGCAAACAGCCACAAGAAGACAGAGTTGATAAAGAATTCTCCCAAAAAAAAGTAGATAAAAAAACAGCCATAAACGATTACAAAAACTGCATGCAATAACAACTACAACAAGAATACGCTTAAAATTCAAACAAAAAAACACCGACAACCGACAAATTGAAGCCACAACCGGAACATACACCAAAAAAGTAATTTTGCCATAAAAAAGTCAACATTTTAAGCAAAATCCAAAACCAATAAAAAACAAAAGTGTAGCGCTGAAAAACGTGCAGTCACAAAAAGCAAGCGATTAAATTTGCATTAACTGCGGGCGTAACAAGTATAAGCAACAACAACAACAACAGCCATTAAAGCAAATAGAACCAAGCAGCAGCGTGCAAAAAGCGATTCGCACGCAAAGGATCAGTAACCAATAACAACAACAACAGCAATAACACAAAAATAACACGTTCATTATAATTAAATTATCACGACGCGATTAAAAAACCAACAACAACATCAAGATATCAACGTCCCCATAATTACGGCAAGAACAACAACAACAACAGTAACAACCAGCGCAAATTTTAAACGTTGACAACGCTGCATACATTAAACATACATCCTACCTACCTACATACATACATAAATAAGTACGTCTGCGGCAGCAGTAATAGCTGGGCACATTGCAAATAAATATCCATATTTGCGTTAAAATACCCTACAACAACAACCAAACAATTATAATAACAACAAAGCAACAAAATGCATATAGAAATTCAAGTGGCATTAAATTTCGTGATTTCGTATTTGTATAATAAACTGCCAAGGCGACGTGTGAATATTTTCGGAGAGGAACTCGAAAAGGCATTGAAGGATAAGTTCCAAGGTCATTGGTACCCAGAGAAGCCATTCAAGGTGAGTACGTAACTGATGATTAGATTAAATTAGGCTAGCGAGGGAAGTATCCGTTTCAAAACAGTTAAAGATTCACAGGCATACGCTTATGTACTTATGTATATATAGGAGAAGACTAAGCTAAGCTAGACTTACATACATAAGTAGCTGCCGGCATCATAGGTTCGTTATAATTTGGAAAAAAAATCTTCATCCTTCGGTCGAACCTAGGGGTCGCCTTTTTAGATTTTTAGTCCTATCTTCGGCATTTACAGTCGGATCTCAAAGTATGAGGTATAGATTTTGTTGTCTCGAGGAGGCCACTTTGTTTACCAACGTTCGTTGACGTCAAGTAGTGGTGACTATGCGAGTAGACACCAGGTTCAGAAAAGAGTTAATAATCCATAATACAGCATCTTTGAACGTTGCGAGCTGAACCACTTTGCAATGGTCTGGCAGCTTAACACAAACGTTAATCCAGAGCTTTTTCGAGTGAATCTCGCTTCCAACTTTTAAAACTAAATAGTTTGTATGGATGGTTACATGCAAAAATATGTTATCTTGAAGTCCCAAGACCTTGTTAATAGAAAGAATTAAATATTATTTAATAAACTGTTCGCAATATGCGAGAGACAACTGAGATTGATGGATAGATATTAGTTGAGGTATGCGCTACGGCCAGGTGATCTATTGTGCCCACTGTCTCCTTTCAAAACCTCGCTCAGTCCTTACTCTTGCAAGTCCAAAAGATTGTTTGGTGACATTGAGTGTATTTGATTCGGCTGCAGGTGCAATGAGCCGAGGTGTTTCTCTAGTCTTCTCGCCACGGCGTGGCATTCGATAATTATGTGCTCAGAAGTCTCAGCTGCATTATCATTATATTGCCGGCATATTGTATTGTTGGACCATATCCCGAGTTTATGTAGTTTCTTAATCTGTAATAACCTGTTAAGATGTCTGTTACGATTGTTATACTTTGGGAGGCTAATAAGTTGTTCATATCTTTACCTACTGTATCTACCAGTAACTTCCTTTCCTGTCGCAGCCCAATGGCTTGCTTCCAGTGCTGTTATCTGCTAGTTCTCTCTTCTCTCCTAAGCTCTTCTCTGATGGTATTACCATAAAGAACATCTCGGGGCCCATTGGTGTTGTTGCTACCGCTCTTCTGGCAAGCGCGTCTGTCCTTAGGCCTTAATGATTTCCGCTAAGGCGTTTAGCCTCTTGACGCACTCAAGAAATATTTCGGACTTGATTTCATAAGAAACAAGAGCTATGAGTGCAGCCTTGCAGTACTCATGTTACTTTCTTTGAAGGCTTATCTATGCACATGAACTAATGGCGTGAACCTGCGCTTGGAATATACTTGGCAATCTACCCATGGGAACTGAGACAGAGAGCTTAAAACCTTGGTTATCTATATCCCATAATTAGCTAAGGCTGGACGATCGCTTCTGGAATGGCATTGAATATCGAGAAAAGTCCTTAGGGCGAGTTCCTTAAATGGTGGGGCCTTATCGAAGTCGGTGTCAATTCGGGACCACAGTAGGTTAGCAAAAAATAGCAAGGCGGATGAGTTGGTTTTACTGAGTAAAGAGAGACAGTTCTTCCACTTTTGACATCCCGTGGACTTCTCTTGGACTTCAAGAAAGGTATAAGCGCTTCTTAGGTTCATAAAGTTTCATCTATTTAATTTAATGAATTCTCGATAGGACATTGTCTGATTTAACTTCACGGGGTGAATATAAATATCGCATCTGATCCACATGGCACAAATCTCTACAGGACACTTGTTTATATTCTCGCAAAACTTCGCAACTCCTCTAATTTGTTCAACTTTTACAGGGTTGACTCGCACTTCTTAAACAGCTCTCTTGGATGGGTATCAAACAGCTGTAAAACCACGTTTTAGGCACACAGAGCTTTTACCGATAGCTTAGCGGTTACCCAAAAGTCTATAGCAAACGCAACTGCTTAGTTTCCATATTAACATTACTTGTTGGATGTTTTAATACTTACGCACCTTTATTGAAAAAAAAAACAATATCCCCATAGGTCAATAATTCAATTTTCCTCTTCTCATCTGCAGGGTTCCGCATTTCGTTGTTTAAAAACTGGTGACCCGATTGACTCGGTTTTGGAGCGCGCAGCCCGTGAGAGTGGCGTACCAATTGCTGATATTTTAGAAAATTTGCCAGCTGAGCTCTCGGTATGGGTGGATCCTGGTGAGGTGTCATATCGTATTGGCGAAAAGGGTGCTGTGAAGGTAAGTGGCGTCAATTGATCTCAACCACGCACATGGACTCATTAGTATCTAATATACTTCGACTTTTCGCTCCAGATTCTCTACTCGGAAAATAGCGACAATCATGAAGACAACACATCGGCCGATCGCGAGGTCAATAAGACTTTTAACCCTGAAGCGCAATGCTTCCGGCCCATCGATGCGGTTAATACGAGCATGAATAGTTTGAGCCTGAGTCCGAAGACATCTCCGCATGCGGGTTCTTCACCGCATTCGGCTTCCTCCAATTCGCCCACCTACAAGGGCAGTCCCAATCCTGCTGTGGCGGCCAATGGCTCATTTATGCAGCGTACACAAGCGCCACTAACATTCACCACAGCCACCTTTGCGCAGACGAAATTCGGCAGCACCAAATTGAAAACCAGTTCCAAACGTACCAATAGGTTGGTACTATAACATACGCGCAAATGCGAAAGCATTCAACTAATTTTTTATTCTCTTCTAATACACATTTCAGCAGCAGTTCGTATCGCATGTCGCCCACAGAATTCTCCAATTACATTAAACAACGTGCCATGCAACAACAACAGCAACTACATCACGGCGGCCATGGTGGACAGAATGTAGCGCAGCCACCGAATCACTTCGGTCCCATCGGACCCGTCTCCCCAGCACGCTCACTCTCACCGAATCCACTCTCGCTGGGCTTGGGACAGAATGGTGCCACCGCCGATCCCTTCTACTTCCCCAACATGGCCTCAATGGGCATGTATCCACAATTCAATGGACATCGAAATGTCTTCGACGCGCATTTCCATGCTGCCGAAAATAATGGGCTGTATGCTGGTAACGCTGGCGGCGCCGCCAACAACCCACCCAACGGCGGTCATGGCAAATTCAACAACTACTTAGATCCACATGGCTTCTACGGAGTGGGCGGCGGTAATCAGCATTTGCAACAATCAGCTGCAGCCGCTGCCGCCGCCGCTGCTGCTGCTGCAGCTGCCGCAGCAGCTCATCAGCAGCAACAACAGCATCAACAATCGTCATTGGCGCCACCGCCAGGCGTTATTGGTTCTGCATTGGCAGCGCAGCAGCAGCATCAACAACAACAAGCAAATGGCAAAGCCAAAAATGGCCTTGATAAGAACGCAGTTGACAGCGCCAATGGCGGCAACAACAACAACAACAACAGCAATAATGGCATTACCGTAACTGTTACGAATGGCGTCAGCGCCGAAGCAACAAACAAAGCCACCAACAATGCAGCCAAGAGCGCTGTCGCCGCTGCAGCATCCTCTGCAGTTAGTCCGTCGCCATTAGCTGCAGCAGCTGCTGCTGCCGTAGCAGCCAGCGCTGCCGCCGCCGCAGCTGCCAATAGCAATAACCAACAGCAACAACAACAAGACTCAAACAACTCGAAACTTATCGATGGTCTCAATTCGTTCTATTCCAATGCAGCTGGACCCTACCAGCAGTTGCTGGTGGCCAATTAAGGCGTTTCGAATTGCGGGCAGAGCGCATGAAAGGGGGCGAGGGAGAGATAGGGCGAAAGATAGGCGGTGGAAAGTGCTGTGAGAAGGAAGATCGACTAGAAGGAAGAATAGCATATTTTTTTAAAAGCTTATTTTTTAGAACTATTGCAAAGACGTGAAAATAATACTACTACAAATATGTATTTGTATGTATAAAAACAAAAAATTTAGCAAATTGATAAATGATATATGTATATGTATGTATGTAGATAGTCGAGCGAGAGGCAGCAAGCGTGCGGAGCAAAGCGCAACTTTTTTGTAAAGGAAGAAAAACTAGCTAAATATAAAAAGCAACTAAATACATCAACAAATCTTGTAGTAAAAACATACATACAAATACGGAAAAACTTACATACATATGTACATAATATGTAGCAAGTAAATGCAAAAACCAATACATCTGCATGTGTAAGCATATATATATTAGCAAAAAGCTGATATAGCTAAAACCAAATTATATGAATTAAAACAAAAACAACAAATGCAAGAGCAGAAGTGAAGAAAAACTAAAGCAGTGCATACAAATATAGGAGTATAATATGCGCTTTGCAATCGAACAGGCTAAAGGAGGGGAGATTTTGTAATTATATATATATATATATATGTACTACGTGTTGGAGCATAAGGCGGGCACTGGAAATGCAAAAAAGCGCTATTTTTTAGAAATAAATTAGGCAAGGATATCTAACCTACAAGTAAAACACTATCAGCATAGTATAAAAAATTCAAGTCGTTTTTTTATTAACTAGTTGTAATCGATAAAAAAGAAAATGGAAATAGAAATAGAAATAGAAAAACAAAAATAAAAAAAAGAGACATACATACATATGTAGAAGAAGAAAAGGAAGAAGTAGAAGAAACAATATAACAATTGCAGAAAAATTGCAATATACGCAAATAAAGTCTTATATATTATAATAAGTTTTAAAATTAGTCAAAAGTGAAATTCGTTTGCTGTTTTTTATACCCACACATTTTTCTAATATTCAAATGTTGTATTATGTGAGATAAAGAAGAAAACAATGAGAGAAAATGTTAAATGTTTTATATATGTATATTATTGTATAAATACTTATTACTATTATATTACTATTATATTTCTATTATTATTATTATTGCTACATATTATTGCAACTAAACAAAAGTAAAACGAAAAAAAATCTAGTGAAAAAATTTTAAGAAAACCAACCGCAGTACTTTAGTCAACGCTTAAATACGCATGCAAATACATGTATACATACGAATGTATGTGTGTGTGTGTGTGTGTGTGTGTATACACAAGCACATTATAATCCCCATAAAAGTCAATAACATACACGCATGACATACATACGCTGGACGCAAGTGAAAAGTAAAGAAACAGGCCGAGAAGGCTGAGGATTTCTAAAAGGCTGAATGGGCTAAGAAAGCTGAGCGAGCTGAGGGAGCAAACGAAATCGGGCCTACGGAAATGGGAGTATAATATTCTCTCAACAACAACAGCAATAACATTTAGTGGTAACGCTAAAATGCATCCTAGCGCAGAATAGCAGCGGAAAGTATCAGCGATTTGTTGCAAATGAGCAAATATAAGGCGCCGCGCGCACAGCGGGATATTAAACATAGCTGAGTTGAGGGATGTACTGATAGGTCAGTCAATGTACATAGCACTTAAGGTGGAATAACTCTCTCAATTTGACAGAAAATATTTATTATCAGTTACCTCTCTCACTTCAGCTTTAAGCTAACCGTGCGTGGGCGCCCTAAGGCGCGCATAACTCTCCTGCAGCGCCGTTCGTTCTCATGCTTAAAGCTTATTTATTGTGCACCAGCGGCGGTGTTAATTTCTCAATTGTGTATGTAGCAATGTACCTTCAACATCTTGTGACCTTGTGCGGTGTGACGTCTTAGTCTCAGAGTAATGTCTTTAAACAAATTAAGTGTGCAATAAATTATATAAAGTAACTCCTAAACTACCTTATTTGTCTAAACTGAAAAAAAACCAAAAAAAAACAATTTTGTAGAGAATTTTTTATATATTTTTTCTTAGTTCAATTTACAATTTAAAAGTAACTTAAATATTTTTAATTATTATACTGTTTAACAAATTTTGTAACACATATCTACATACATACATTTATGCGCATACAAAATAATTTTTCTAATTATATTACATTTGTTGTTGTATAAAACAGAGTTTTTTTTTATTGCGAATCATTATAATTATTACTATTATGATTATTATGCAGCAGAAATGCTATTACAACATATACATATAACTACATATATAAATACGCTAGATAGAGCAATACCTATAAACAAAATGCGAAAGAAATATGCGAAAACAAAATTATAAACAACAAAAATTATTACATACCTAAATATGCGGTTAATTTTGTACAGAGTTTTTTGCTAGTGCATTGCAACATACATACATACAATATTCGTTTTTATTTTTAACATTAATAATTTTTTTATACTTTTTATACAAAAAAAAAACCAAAACAATGTTTGTAGTGATTATAAATTCTGATACTTTTTTATTGAGAATATATGTATAATAAAAAGTTTTCCACGTTACAGAAATTAAAAAAAAAAAATTAAGGACTTTTTCATTTCGTTTGAGTTTCATGTTGTAATGCGAGTTGGAGGAGTTCTGTGGTGGAAAATGTTTATGTGGTTGCGTTGAAGTACTATTTCCTGATACATTTTTTGCCTTATACAATATTGAGTTGAAAATCCCAAACTTTTTATCTAAAATTATAACCAAAGACGCTACTTATGCCGAAATTCCACTGGTCATGTCTTATGCAAATCTGAGGTAGTCTAAGCGACGCGCCGTAGTGGTCCTACTGCTAAAATACTGAATTAGTAAAAAAAATACCCTACTCAGCTTACCTAAATTAACCTCACTTTGCTGAAAATCCCAAAAAATTAAAAAAAAAATGTTTACCAAATACATGACTTATACCAGATTTCCACCAGACATTAAATGCGAGCAAAAAAAAAATATCTAAACTTTGCTTAAAAAAAACACCCGCATTAAATATGGACAAGCAGCGAAAAGTAACAACCGCAGCAGAAGAAACATACTCAGTTCACCCAACATAACCTCACTTCACTGCAAATACCGAAATTGTTTGAAGAATGATTACAAAAAAACGGAGCATGCGGATTTCCACTTTTAAAATTTAGCAAAGCTCCTACTTAAACAAAAAGTATGTTGAAGTTACCAAGGCAACAAAAAGAACGCATTTTAGTAGAAGAATCGCACAAAAGCTCACTTAACTTAGCGTCGCTTAAAACCCAACAATTTTTTTCAAAAATGTTGGCTTATACTGGATTTCTACTAGGCATTAAATATCAAACGTGGTAATTCAAAGTTGGGTGATATAAAATAGTATTCGCGTCGTTACTTTTGCTCTTTTAAATAATTGATTGAAAGATATTTTGTATTGCTAAGGACAGTTGCTAACGCTTAATGCTCAAGATTCCTTCGACTTATGTACCTTACAAATTCTAAGAGCCTCATGGTAGTCGAATTCCGTATCATCGTCTTCAAGACCAATTCGGTGCTTATTAAAACATAATCGGTCATGACGTGTTAGATAGTGCCCAAAATTTAAGAATGTCCTTCCTACCGAAAGAAATGGCCGTTGAGCCTATCCTACCTAAGGCCCTTACTGCACCCCAGTAATTCTTGCATTCTGAGTATACCACCTCAGTTACTAAGGGCCTTCGAAGTAGACCAATTGAGGCCGCTAACTGGCTCCGGTTCTTTGAAAGACAGTTTAGAATGCTTCTTATGCCAATTCCACAATGACTCCACAGTGGCTGAGTACCAAGCAAAGTCTTTTCGTATTTCTCGCTGTCAAAGGGTGAGTGGACACGCCCCTTTAACAAGCTTGGATTTTTTTATGATGTTCCCGAAAAAATGTTTATTTCTCTAAGTTTATTACTTTCATAAAAATTGGTCATTCAATTCATTTCCACGTGGCATTTTATAAACGACACAAAAGTTTTTTCGTTTTAATGCCTAGTGGAAATTCAGCATTCTGTACAAGTAGAACATTTTTATGAAAATAATATTAAATTAAATAGATCAATTTTAATTTTCAATTTCAATTTGGAATTGTAACTTTGAACACAATCGATCTCAATTTCGATACCAATTACCGGCAGGCTGCGATTTATGATCTCGTTTCACTAAGGAAACTGTAGAGCTGAATTCATAAAATTTAGGCAAACTATTTTTCATAATTTCACCTAAAATGAGGCTCTAACGAAATTACAGCTGATAGTTTTTACATTTTTTTAACAATGCTATGACCTAGTTGAGCACTGCATTGCAATTGAAAATATTGCGAGTTTAATTGCATAATTTACGGCTCGTGGAAACACACTATTACTAGGAGTTTTTACGACTGGTTCAATCCTAAGCTACTTTTTTTATAATTCACGTCAAGATTATCGTGCATCTGAAGAAAGTAGTTTATATTCATACCATTCATTGCCATAATTGGTTTCCTTCACGTTCGATGAGAAATCAGCAATCATTCAGTCAAGTTACATCTGTGCACGAGAATTTCTAATATGACCCAGCAAGCATTAACAAGTAAAATTTTACCTAACCTTAAAACTAGTCAGCCATTTAATTAATTAATTAATTTATTTTTTTTTTATGTTTTGAACCTAAACACAACTTATACTAAAACTCGCAAAGTAACCTTTTATAACAAAGCAACAAATTTTAGTAACGTCTAGTTCGTATTAACAAATCCCAATACATATACTTAAATGTTGATACTATCGATATGCAAATATAACCAAAAACCATCAGAACAAACCTAACCTAAAAATCGTAGCAAAATTATAAACAACTGGTACAAACCTAAATGTTACGCTCAGCATTTATATATATGTCGAACATAGAAAAGTTTACCTTAACTAATTTGATGTTGTGAATTGAACTCGGTTAAATTTGGAAATCTCTAACAAACCCTTAAAATATGCAGAGAAGTAACATAACCGAAAAAATAACGTTTCGCAACAAAAATTGAAGTTTTATATATAAATGTGTTTGTTAAAATGGTACAAAACAAAAATTTAACGATTTCAACCCTCTTCAATTCTAACTAAATCTTAAAATACTTTAAATACTTATGAAGCACCCGAAAACAAATCGATGGCTGAGTGGAAGATCGACCTATCTCGGCTGCCAGTTCGAAAACGTTCTATCTGAAAAAACTTTTCAAGAACGCCCTATTTCAGAATTTTATTGAAAAACACCTTATTTCAAAATTCGGTTCAAAAACGCCCTATCGCACTTCAAAATGTATTGAAAATATGCTGATATAGGGCGTTTTTGAATCGGCAGCTGAGATAGGGCGTTTTTGAAACGAATTTTCAAATAGGACGTTCTTGAAAAGTTTTTTGAGATAGAATGTTTTCGAACTGGCTGCCGAGATAGGTCGATCTTCCACTCAGCCATCGAAATTCAAAAAAAAAATAATAATCGTCTTCCAAGAGTTCCAATTCATTTCATTCAACGTTTATTATAAAATAATCGTTAAGTATAAAAGATATTATGAAATAGTTATTACCCTGAAAATTTTACCACCATAAAAACGTGTCTTTCAAAACATTTTACTCAAAGTGCTTATAACTATAAATTAAAAGAAAGAGATTTATTACAATTTTTAAGAAAGATTTCAATGTTAACGAGTAAAATCGAGATTTCACAACCATTAAAGTTATTTATGCATACACAGAAACACATATTCTCAAAAAAAATGCATCCTTTCAATTATTTTGAATTAAAAGCTTTTTTAATCGATAACTTCTTCAACAACTTCTCTTAGTATTTCATTATACATGCGCCTACATCAGTGATGCTAAAAACAGCGCCCGCGGGCGGAACTCTTCAAAGCTCTCTGCACATTTTATATGGGCGCGCTCACAATAAAAGCTCTCTCTGTGCAACACCTGACTTATAGCTCAGTTATGCATACTTTGCACTGCACTGCATAAAATGTCATTTTTACTTAGAAATCAAAAACCAACAGACTTCTAAATACATATGCAAAGCTGTGCGTTGGGTAACGGCTTACACGCAAAGCCCGTTTTGCAGATTCCTAATGCGAC